TTTTTGCAGGTTTGCTTGTGTGTGTGTGTGTGTGTGTTGAAGGCGGTGCGGCAGGGCATGGATATTAAAGGGTAAAAATGGAGACCCAAATGGTTGGTAGGGCCTGGCATTGACCCCCGTGAGACTGTGGGTCCTTCTGCCAAAAACAAAGCAAAAGGGAAAATGTAACAAACATAAAAGAAAAACAATCCCAGGAAAATAAAAGAGAAACCTAATACCCCCCAAAACTCCCAAACTAAAACTAAAACTAAAAACAAAACCTTAAAAATGCAGTCTGCTGCATAAATCATTTAAGCCTTTCAACTGCTGCGTGGGGGGCTGGTCCTGCATTCTGCAGTCTGTAAATGGTAATACTGAGGCCCTGGTCCCACAGTCTGCAGAGGACCCAGGCGCTGGGACGTGCAATCCAGTGCTCCTTCCAGTACAACATTCTGCCCTGCCTTCTCTGTTGCCAAAACACCCCCTCGGGCAGGTGGGCAGCTGTGCCCTTGTGGAGCTGCCACAAGTAGACTCTCCCCACCCTCTCTCTCGGTGAGGCCAGCCAGGTCCCAGCTGAGTCCTCCTAGGTCCAGTGGCTGCTGTAAATCCAAGAAAGGAAGTGAATGGCAGGTCAACGCTGAGCCCAGACCTGGCTGCCAGAGAGGGTTTTCTGTTCCCGAAGGCTGCTCCTTGCTCAAGTCCCCAAGCCTTGGCCCCTTGCCCGGCATACTCGCATACTCAGATATGTCTACAGCAGCCAGGGCCCTGCGAGGTCTATGCCGTTGTGCTGTCTGTTTGGACCAGTGAGTTTCTGCAGCTCAGGTCCGGCACTGCCCCCAGATTCTCAGTGGGGTCGGACCGCACTAAATTCAGTGACTCCCTGTCCCACACCTACTTTTACAAACAGGACTGTCTAGCTGCAGCCAGAGGCCTTGGCCTTCCTGCACCCTCCCACGTTCCCAGCCACTGGTGCATCCATCAAGCTCCAAGGTAAAAGCGTTTCCGCTGGTGGGTGGTGGTGCTGCAGGGGTTGGGGGGAAGCCATTCACTCACTCAAAGGGTCTCTCAGTTTTCCTGTTCCTCTGCTCCCAGACCGAGGAGTGAGGGGCCAGGTCAGGAGTGCCGCAGGTCTCAAGGTGCAGGAGTGCCCTGGGGGCAGCCTCTGAAATACACTCTACTCTGGCCAGTGTGGCTGCACAGAGCTGGGGGCAGAAAGTGAGGCCCCATTGTGGTTTTGAGACCCACAGTTTGTAAGGGACTGAGTTGGGCGAGTTGGGACAGCGCTAGCATTGTTCATAACATTTTCTGGGTTGGGTGTTGCTGGCAGAACACCATTCCCCGCTCTGTGCAGAGGGGTTGTTGAATTTGACTCTGAATTTGTTTGAGAATCGTGTAGGTGCCTCTGAGTGCGAGAGGGAAAGCACAGATCATGAGGTTTGGGAGTTTGGGGTGAGGGTTGTCCCACCTCTTTTAACTGCAGGGATCCGGGCTTCACCGAAAAGGCGATTGCACCGAGGCTGCAGCAAACGAATTTAGAGCCACAGCTGGGAGGTGGCCTGTTCCTTCCATCGGCTTCCCAGGAGCAGTTGGCTCGCTCTGTTCAAATATAAAACAAAAGCATCCTGCACCTCGACCCCTCATCGGCCAATGGGCCATTTATGCAGTGGTGTGGGGCGGCCTAGGAGGCCCTTTGGTCCCTGTGGAAACCGAGCTGCGTCCTCGGTGGGCTGTGTGCGGTGCCGGTTGTGTGTACATGCCTATTATCCTGGTGGCCTTGTTTGTGCCCACTAGTGGCATGAAGCAGCCTCCATTTTGAGGCAGGAGATTCAGCAAGGTCGGCCTCCCTGGCTCCCTGACCCACATTTTGCAGAGGCAGCAGAAACTTGAATGATTCGTTGACGGAGTGTTCCTCGAAGGGGACTGGGGAAGGCTGCACTGTGTGGTCTGCAAGATGGTGCTGGGCCTCCTTTCATCAGCCGGCTCTTGACCCCTTGGCTGCTCACCTCCCAACACTTACACAGCCTCTGGGCCCAGGAGGGTGAGGTGGGGGAGGCCCCTGAGGAAGGAGGCCCACTGCTTGAAGCAGTTTGTGGGTCACCTCACAGCTCCCTCTTTCATTCAACAGAATATTTATGGAGATCCTGCTGGCTGTTTGCAGTTTCACAGGCAACATCTCTGACCCTTAGCATAGCCCTTCAAGGGAAGAGCTATGGTGTCTTTGTACAGATGAGGAAACTGAGGCATGAGAGGCAGAGAACCTGGTTCAGCTTCAGAGGGCTCTAAGACCTGTATTCCAAACCAACTCCCCTCAATTCCAGCCCCTGTGTTTTCCTCTTACTCCCCTGCGCCTTGGGACTCCCCCAACAGATCTGCTACCCTGAGGTGGGGCCCTCAGGGGAGTGCAGAGTAGAAAAGAGGCAGAAAGAAGGGCCGAGACCCTGAGAGAATGGGGCTCTTTCCCAGAATCTTCACCTCACCAGCAACCAATGACTATGATGGCCTACCTTCCGTCCTTTTGTAGTTTCCTCCAAGGGTACTTTGGCAGGATATGTCCTTGGAGGTCAAGGGCAAAATGGACTCTCTGCTTAGAGCATACTGGAGGGACATTCAGCCAGGGGCCACAGTGCCACAGGCTCCCCTTCACAGTCCGGGGGCCCTTTCATTTGTCAGAGCCTCCGCCCTGGGCCCAATGGGGACAGGAGTGACGCAGGTGACCCTGGCTAGGAGGGATTAGCGGTAAATGACGTCTCTGGTATCTCAGCTATCTCAGGCCTGTAATAACCTCCCTGTTATTAAATGGAAAAGGGCAGAGGGATTTATGAGGGCCCTGTTTACCTTTTATTTTTTTCAGGTGCATAAATACCTTCTCTGCGCTCCGTTTCCATTATATGGTACAAAGGTAATGGCATGGCTGTAGTTTCCACGCGCATTTGTGAAAGCACACCTGCTGACAGTGCAGACAAGCTTCCCCACATACAGTGGCGGGGCCCTCTCTTCCTGGCTGCGGATTGCTCCCAGCGTGAGGGGTCTCCACCCCACAGGGTGGAGGGTCATTTTTGACTTCCACTGTCTGTAAGTCCACACCAGACATCTGTACACAAAATCTATTTTTTCACATCTATATTTTGAAATCTACATTTTGACATCTATACACAAAATCTACAATCTACACGCAGAGTTAATAGAGCAGAAGGGATGGTAGGTGTGCACAAAACTCACAATTGTCCAGGCAGAAAGAAATGGCTACCCATAGGTGGAGTGTGAGGTGTTGAGTGTCATGCAGGGACCTGGGGCCCTTAATCTGGGAGTGTGGGCTTGAGGGGCTGATTTCTCTGTTTCTGGAAGCCCTGCAGATTTCCTTAATGGAACTCCAAGCTGGCTGCTAACACCTTGTACCCAGGACACCCTACAGTCTATGAATAGGATCTAATTTAATCCCAGCTGCCCAACAGGTCCACACACCTGATGGAATCCCTGCTGGGTGGGGAATCACCCACCCTCCATGCCCTATCCTGTAACAGCTTTGACCCAAGCCTGACCCAGAACAGCGCTGGGCACCCATGTCACCTAGGTGACCACACCTGGCACCAGAAAGTGTTTCAAGATCTGACTTTGTGTCCCTGAGTCTGTGTCCAAGATGGTCATCAGTCAACTTCACACTGGCTGCCTCCGTGCTCAACCTTAGCCCCCATTCTGAGAGCCACCCAAACTCAGCAGCTGTGGGGAGGCTGGGTGCAAGCAGGCCAAGGTGTCCTAGTCTGCGTGTGGGGAGCTCACACACAGCCCAGTGCTGGAGCGACCTGGAGCCAGCATTAGGCTGGTTCCCCTTCCCTAGGCCATGGCTGAGGATATCAGCTCTGCCTGATTTCTCCAGAGGCCCTTGGGCTCCCAGGAGGGGCGCTCAGGAAGAAGGGGCAAGAAAAAGGCAGCGGGAGGAAGCCGGGGGAGGGAGTCGAAGAAAAAGGCCGGGGAAGCCATTACCCTGGAGTAGCCTCTTCTAGGCGCTGGGTCTCCTGGATCCGGGACTCTGGGCTAATGGGGGAAACAGACCTCAGGCTCTGGCCCAGGCCTCGGGCCTAGGGACCGGCTGAAGGCAAGACCCCTGGAATCCCTTTCTCCTCCCATCTCGCTGGGTGAGCCCCGGATCCAGCGAAAGCCAAAACTAGAGCTTCGTGTCAGGCTGGCTTTGGGGGCCGGGGGAGTCCCAGCCTCTTGGCAAGGAAGGCAGGCGGAAGGGCACTCGGACGCAGTCCACAGGCGCTTGCAGAAAGCGAATGCTGAGAAGGCGAGCTCGGCGGAGAGAAATGGTCAAGAAAGAAGAGAGGAAGGCGAAGGGCGAGGGAGAACCAGAGAGACGTGAAAGGCCAGGCTGGGAGAAGGCCGCACCGAGAGCTGGCTGGGCCCGGGCGCCGCGAGGAAGTGGGAACCGGGAGAGAGAAGCCCAGGCGGGCAAGCGCGGCGCACGCAGCCCTCCGCGTCCCGGTGCCCTCTCCCGCGAGCAGCCGGTGGGTCCGCGTGGCTGGGAATGGGAAACGAGGCTGGGCAGCAGGGCAGGGAAGCACCCGGCCGCTGAGAGGAGCCCGGGCCTTTTCCTCCCGCGGTTCCAGACGCTGGTCCTTCCTCGTCCTGACCCCGCGGAACGCTTGTGACGCTTTTCTCCGCACCCGCCACGAGGGTCGCGGGGCGGGGACTCGGCTCTCCGCATCCCGCACTCCCATCTCGGCCCCCACGCCTCGGGAACCCGCCGGGATGGGTCTGGGGTGAGGCTCCGGCCCTAGAGGCTAAGAACTGTAAGGCAGTGAAATGGGGATCTCTTCGGTACCGGTTGCCGCTTTGTCCCCTGCACTCAGCTCAATGCCCAGCACACAATAGACGCTCAAAATAACGTTTGCTGAATGAATGACCGAATGATGACTGGCTGAATGAATATATGAATTGAGAGGTGGAGGTTGCAGGAAGTTCGGAGGCCTCAGTAGGGATGGGGGTGTCCAGCGGGCTAGGGCTTCGAGCATTCCTCTTACCTCGCACCAGGATGCGGCGGCAGTGGTCTGCCTCGCCGAGCCCGGGCTGCCCGTCGCTGTCGGCGCCGCTCTCCCTCGAGCCCGCGGGGCTGGAGGCGGAGGTCCCAGCAATTTCCTTTGGGCTGCGGCCGCCGGCATTAGCGCTCGAGTCCTCAGCTCCGCCGCGGTCTCCGCCACGCCCGCCCCGAGACTCCCGGCGTGCGGGGCCTCGGTCGCGCTCGGCGCCCCCATCGCCCATGCCGGCCGCCACCGCCGCCTTCGCCACCGCCTGGCCAGCCTGGGCTGGCCAAGCCCGCGCCTCCCCGCCCCTCGCACCCCCCTCGTCCGGCTCCTCCTCCTCCGGCCCCGCCCCCGCCCGGCCGCTCCACCCCTCCCTGCTGATTGGGCCCGAGTCGGGGTTCTCCGACCGTCCCCAGCGGCGCGCGAGGGAGCTGCGCCGGGGGTGGGGGGTTGATGGCCTCACTCTTCCACCCCTTGTCTAGCCTCACACCCAACCCGGCAGACGGAGGCCGGGGATGCCCTGGGGTACGGAGGAACGTCCTACACCCACTCCTGAAGTTTATCAACTCCCTCCCCCTACAACCAGCCTACTCCCCTCCCCACTCCCTTCGTCCCCAGGGAAGCGCTGCCTCCGCTCTCCGGCTCTTTCAGCGGGATCAATAACCAAAGTGTTCCAGGAAGGCGACCCCGGCGAGACCGAGCAGAAAACAGGAGGTTGGCCTTGCTCGGGCGCTTGGAGGGGTGGAGGGCTGGAAATGAGGGCTCAGGCCTAGAGTTCAGTGCCCCGCACCGCCCCCCCATACCTCCATCCACACTCAGGAACACAGACCGAAGGCCCCTCCCGGCGCTCCGTGGGAGAGCAAGGCCAGGAATGTGGTAAAAGAGCCTGAGAGTGGGGCAAGGGGACTGAGGGAAGGACCCACATTCGCCGGGAGAAAAAATAGATTTGCAGACAGTTAGCTAGGTCCAGGAACCGAGAGGATGGAGAGAGGTCGAGACTGTGGTAGGGTGCAAACGCCCGGGTGGGTCCCCAGCGGCTCTGAGGCCTTCTCACCCGGAACCGCACCCCTATACTGGGAAATATGGTAGACATCTCCTTGTCGCCCTCCGACCCCCGGAGCTCTCCCCGTCTCAGTCTCCCATCCCCCGCCCTCTTCACCACGTTGGGGAGAGGGGAAGGGTGGATGGAAGTGATCGAGGCTGGAAGCCTGGCGGGCCTTGGGGCTTTGAAGCTGAGCAGTGGGTATCCGTGGGCTTAGCGCGAGTCCCCAGCACTTTATGAGGATCCCAGTGTTCAAGGAAGTCGAGCCTGTCCTCTGACAGCTCCAGGAAAGGCCAGGCCCGGATTTCTTTCCTTTGACTCAGAGAGGCGCTTGGAAGAAAAATTGAGAGACCCTGGCCAAGTTGTGTAGGCAGACTTGTGCGGGAGGGCCCGTGACCCATCCCCTAAAACACTATAAACACAGACTTGGCTTTCCTTTACTGCACCGCATGCTATTGTGAACGAAGGTGCTTCGGTGTGTCAGAGGGACCCACTGAGAGTGTCTGTGGGGGCGAGGTCGGTGGATGTGCCTGGTGAACGTGGATGTGGCGTGGTGCAGTGCTTTGCCGGTGCAGCCTCCATCCTTCCCTGAGCCGGAGGAGCGGGTAAACGAGTAAGCCCCTGTTGAGTCAGTGCCTTAGTATGTGTCCAGGGTGCATGTGAGTGGTTGAGTGTGTTTGTGTCCAATCTCTAAAGTCTCCAACGGAAGGCGAAGTGGGCGGGGCGCACCAGTTATTTAATTGGGTGACTAATAGCGCCTCCAGAATAGGGTTTGGGACTTCGGGAAAAGGGAGGGTAAAGGGGGCAGGGGAGGAGGCGTGCTGGTCTGTACTAACAGGAGGGAAGGAAGGGAGGAAGGAAGGAAAGAAACTCAGCCACAAGGTAATTTGGGTGGGGGAGGGGAGTGGCGGGATCGCGCCCAGGATGTGCAGAGCGAGAGGAGCTTGAATCAGCTGCCAGGACTAAGAGTTCGTGGCAGTCCAACTCTTGGAGGGAAAGAAGGAGGTTTACAGTTACATGAGGGCTCTGAGGCTTGTAACCCAGCGGGACCGAGCTCGGCTGGAAGGATCCACGCTGCGTGGCACCAGGAGTCCTGCACTCGCACTTGGTCCCTCCGAGCCTGGTACCTAGAGAGGCTGCCAAACTCCACAGTGACCACTCCCCAAGGGCCAGGACGTTCGCCACCCCAGCCCAGTAGACCCTGGTCTCTTGTTTCGGTCCCTCATCTTTGCGCTGCACTTTAACATTTCTCTTCTCTGGCTCTCTCAAGGCTATTTTTATTATTCAAATAACACATGCCTGGTATTGAAAACTTCTAAGCAGAAAGTAAACAGCCGGCTGGAACCTTCCTGGCGACCTAGTCCTTGCTCGCTGTTCCACGGGCCACATGGGAGGCCCCAGGTTTCTGTTCAAAGAAAAATGGAACAGCACCTGTTGAATTCTACCGGATTTTGTTTGTTTTTACCCTTTTAAATTTTCATTTCGTGAATGATGATGGCTTTCCATGCCAGTACTCAGGTCTCCATGCCGGCGTCCTCTCCCGAAGTCCGTAGATGGGCTTCCGGGCGCGCGCGCACTCCCGGGGGAGCCGGGGCCGTTCTCCAAGAGAGACGGGTGGCCTCGCACAGAGTCCCATGGAGCCAGGACCTTGAGAAGGTGGGGACACCTCCCCTTTCCGGGCTTCGAGACGAGCCTGGCAGGGAGAGTGGGGGGTGGCGGGACCTCAGGCCAGCCCCGTGTTGACTCTTGGGAATTCCCAGTCTCCCTCCTGCGCCCTTTCTTCTTTCCTCTTGTTCTCTCTTGGCAGTATGGGATTTGGCCTCCCGCAGGAGGTCCGGTTCTCTCTACTCTGCAGGCCTGGAAAGTGGGGCCCCGGCTTACATGATTGTGCGCAGAAATCCAGTGAGGAGCGCGAGGCTTCTGCGCGCTTAGGGGAGGGTGTGTGTGTGTGTGTGTGTGTGTGTGTGTGTGTGTAGTGTGAAGCTGGGGTTGGTGGTAGGCTGGATCTCCTCGCCAAGCCCTGGCTCTGGCCCAACAGGCTCATGAACCCGGGGCCATCTCGAGCCCTCCAGTCCCTCCTGGGGCACGGTGTCTAGGCTGCCCAGTTCCCGGACCAGGAAGCGAGTCCTGCGGGGCCACTGGGTTCCCACCCGTGCCCTGCCGGACTACTTCCCCCTAGTCCTGGCTGAAGAAGGCTGGGAGCACCTGTGCCCTACACTGCCACGTGGTGGGGATGTGTAGTGTCGGCCTTATTGAGTGTGAGTGTGTGTGTATGTGCTCGCGCACGCGTTCGGGTGGATTGGAACGCTGTTTGGCTCTGGGGGGACCTTCCCGCCCCCGGGTAAGTGAGACGCAGAGCTCCAGGTGTCCTGAGTCCTTCTGGCGCGAATTCACGAGGATCCAGGGTTCCTCACCCTGCCGCGGGGACCAGAGGACCAGCAGAATCTTATGCCTGCTGCCCCAGCCCTCAACACCCGTCTCCAACCGCCGATCTCAACCCGGCCAAGACGCTTGAAACGCCGAGAGTTTCTTCAGCCTCTTTATCCCCACCCCCACTCTTTTTGTAAAGCAATCGGGGAAATTCGGCATGGGGGATGTGGGCGATCCCAGCCAATAGGGGGCAGGGCGATGGCCTAAATTGCTTTTTCAGAGGCTCTGGTCCTGCCGAGGTTCAGTGTTGACAAACCCCACATTGGTCCGGCCCTTCTTGGGCTCCAAAGGGCCGTGGCAGCCGGAGGCCCAGCTGCATCCGCGCTACTGGCCTCCTCTTCAGCATCAGCAGTTTCCTGGGCATTAGTGTACTTGGGGTTTAGGGGAAGAGTGGGTCTGGCTACAGAGAGCTGCTGCGTCCTGGGCTGGAGTCTGGTGACTCTCTGCCACTGGGAGTTCTCCCGACACGTGGTGGTCCAGGTTTTCCACTCACAGCGGGAAGGAGTGAGGGGAGGATCATCAGGGAGGGGCCACCAGCGCCAGATCCCCTCAGACATCCTTTTAGGACCAAGTTTCCAGAGGGTTTCTTCAAGGAGCCGCCTGAGTTGGGGGAAGAGCTCCTTTGCCTTGCTCAGTGCCAGGAGCCTCCAGTTCCTGCCAATTTCCCAGAAACTGAGCCTGTTCGACTCTTTCTCCAGGGACCTCCAGTCCCTCCCCACCCCTCTTCTCCACTACTTTTAGTGTCTCAGAGAATGAGACTGACTCCCGCAGTTTCTGTGCTGCTAAGAGCTGGGTCCCAGCCACCTGTGGGTAAATAGCGCCCCCTCCCACACCCAGCATCAGGGTTTCCTAGGATCAGAAGTGGGATTCCAGGGGACCCAAGGTGTGTATGTGGGTGGGTGGGTGGGAGTGGAGCCTGGGTTCCCTGAGGAACTACCTGTACCTAACTGCCCAGCCCTCCCATCCTCCACTGCCAGTTGGGCATGCAGCTCTGGGCTCTGGTGGGAGCCTTCAGCATCCCCTTCAGGTGCTCAGAACCTAGAGCCTCAGAGGTCCGGTCCAGTGTCTGGCTGTTTTCATCCATCTTCTGTATCCCTTGGGTGCTTTAGCAGACACGTCAGGCCAGGTCTCCATGCCTGGACCTCTGGTCCCAACTCGGTCCACTCCTTATGTCTCTTCCTCTTGCTGAGGCTGGGCCAGCATCTCCCCTAGGGCTGCTGGTGAGTCCAGGTTGAGCTTGCAGCCAATTCGGGTGCCTGCCCTGGCTGGCTTCCACTTCCTTCCTGTCCTCCTCCTTGGCCTCTCTGTCTCTACCATGCTACTGTCCCCTACTCCCCGCCCCTAGCCTGTGCATCTCTCTAGCCCCAGGTGTCTACAGCCCAGGGAGACTGGCTTCCTCTGCCCTGATTCATTCCCTGTCTGGATCTCCTGTCCACCTTTCTTCCTGTTAGTTTTCGGGCTCCACCTAAAGGTCTCTGGGAGATCGTGGGCAGCACTTGCTCTGCCCTGAGGGAATCCAGTCTCCCAGGCAAATGAATCTTCTCAGCCATCACTGCTGGGATGGGGGTTCACCTGTAGCTGAAGGGCACTGCGGATTTGAGGTGAACAGAGAGGGACACTCCTCACACTCAGCTGAGCAGCATAAGACCCAGCTTATAGAAACAATCTCTTCATTACTTCCTGGAGCCTGCCTGTGCCCCACTCTACACGCTTGAGAACCAGACCTTTGCGCTGGCACATTAGGGAGGGAACCACTGTCCCACCCCCCCAGGTAGGGAGGGATTGGCATTTTAAAAGGAGATGGGATGTTGTT